CATAAAAAACATGAAATGAATAGTTCACTTACATCGTCAGCGAGCCAAACTCCCACAGTGGTGATATCGTGGAACCACTTATAAGAGTTCGAGATCGTCCTTTGACTTATCGTGCGGCTAACTCTATAAAAAAACAGGAAAATGTTAAAATAAGTGTAGATGAGTTAGCGTACAGTGCTTTATTAAAATCATACAATACTTACCCGGGGATAATTCTCATCCACTCTATCTCGAACGCTTTCCACTTGGCATTGTCCACCTCTCTGAATAAGTTCGGGTACGTTCCATCGATGAACGTCCTCCTCTTGGCCTCAGCCGTGAAGGGGGAAACAACATACTGTGACGGCACTCTCAACCTCTTGCCGACCACCTGCTCCGTCTCGTCAACAGCATGTCTCTTACCCTCAATCACGCCGGGCGTCCTCTCGACCTCCGGGGCCACCTCCTCCGCCCCTCCCGTCGGGGCCACCCCCTCCGTAGTCCCCTCTCCCATCCCCATCGGGGCCACCCCCTCCATAGACAACCACAATGACTCCAATGTCTCATCACGCCAAAAATGTGGGTGACCCCCCTCTCCATCACCATCTCTGCCACCCTCTCGATCATGATCCCCGCCATCCCCTCTGTCCCCCCATCGTCTACCGGCTAAATCTCCTCTAAGCGCCGCTACTGTATCCTGAAGGTCGACAACGGAAGACTGTAGTATTCCAACATCATGTGATAGATCGTCAACCCTCCCTGTCAAATAGTCAACCTTCCCTGTCAGATCGTCGACCCTCCCTGTCAACTCTCGTCCCAGATCATCGACCCTCTCCGTCAAATCTCGTCGTAGCGCGCCGACATCCTCCGCTATAAATCCAGTCAAACGGACATACAAATCATCACTGTGCCCCGGAGACACACGGGGGAGGTGTCTAGACGGAGGTGATACCAATGGCGGCGGTGATGGCCCCGACGGAGGTGATGCCACTAGCGGCGGTGATGCCCTCGACGGAGGTGATGCCAATGGCGGGGACGATACTCTGGGCGGAGGTGATGCCAATGGTGGCGGCGATACCCTCGGCGGAGGTGATCGTCGATCAACTGGACCGCCCTCCTATATAAATAAAATGAAAAATTATTCCATAAATTTATACGTCGACGATATTCAATAAATTATATTTCATTCACATACCCAATCTCGGTCCAAACTCGGATCAGACATCTCCTCATGTGGGGTGTGCGGAACGCCTAAATCCCGCACAATACCCCGAGCCTCCTCTTCCATCGGCGGCGTCAACTCAGATATGACTTCAAGCTGACATATTGACATTTCAACTACTTAACGATCATGCAAACAAAATTTTAAACTACGTATAATATAAATCACAAATACATAATACTTACTTGAGGATCATCGAGGAGGGCCGATAACTGCTTTCCAGTGGGACATCCCTCCGCTCGCGATGATTTTCAATGATGCATCCGAGGGCAGCGTGTCTCCCCTCGCTGCGCAAAGCGGGCCCCCAGTACAGGAACTGTCTCATACACCCAAATCTGTAACACATACACTTATTAAGCATCAATGTAATACACTAAAACTTTAACTTCGATTATATTAAACATTTACCTGCACCGCTAAGGGTAATCCATATGTATCGTATTTACGAATCGACCCTCTGGGCCTCGAGTGCGATCTGGTGAACACATGTACGGTGTCTTCGTAGCATTTTCGGCTCCATGGATAGTTGTTGAACGCATCGATGTCATCAACAACTTGCAAATGAAAAATGTCGATGGCAGTATTCTTGTGATGACATCTCATCACACTCTCGAGGATGTAGACCAGCCCAAGCTTCAATCTATCTAGCATATGGTCGCACCCCCTGATCGCGACCATCAAGTCGGGTAGAAGCACTGACCCATGTCCCTGGAAGTACGTCTCGTACAGCCTATTGCTTCTCTCCATCGCTGCATTGTCGCCCGTAATCCTCAGTCCAGTGATCAATATAAACTCAAACATCGAGAAACTGACGACCTTGCCTCTGAGGTCGAACTGGAAGGAATCGCCGTCGACTGGCCTCAGAAGCCGACATAGAAGTGCATCAATGATCTGTCCTGAGTACTGCACCTCTCGCAACTGGTACAATGGCCACAAGAAGGACTATCGTAGCATATCTCCGTGCTGATCATCGAGCAGCTCCAACACAGCAGTAAAACTCTCAAAGCTACTGTTCCAAGTAGCTTTCCCTGGCATCCGTCTCAACTCTGCATTTAAATGATACTCCATCCTGCAAAAATTCAAATGTTATAGCATTGAACAAGAGATAACAAAAGAAAGTATAATCTCACAAAATC